TTACTTTACTTTACTTTACTTTACTTTACTTTACTTTACTTTACTTTACTTTACTTTACTTTACTTTACAGGTAGACAGGCGACGCCTGATTCGATCAGACCCTCCCAATCCTAGCAATGTCCTCCCATCCCTTCTCAGTAGTCAAGAGAATGAGCCAAAGTTGAGCTTCCCATTTCGTCTGAGCGCCCAGTTCTGACGGCCTCAGCGCCCAAGCCCTCTTCGTCTGCGCCGACTGTCGACTGTTGTCTGCTTCTTTTGACCGCTCCAAAGAGTGCACGTCTGCCCTGCCAGCCAACGGCACCGTCTTCTCCTCGCGACGTCAGTTAGACGAGAAAAGCCTTGCACGATTTCAGAGGTTACGCTCCATACGATAACACCGCCGAAGGGCGGGAGGCCCGGCACTTTGGCAGGTTGGAATTTCTTTTGCTCGCTGGCTGGCTGGATGGATGAATGGATGGATGGATGGAGGGATAGCTTCAGATGGGATGGCCTTGCGTAGTGCACTCAGCCAGAGGGTGGAAATTTGTCTGTACACCCTTGCACTCCACACTCCACACTTCGTCTAGGTCTTGCACTTATACTGTCTGAGGCTTGGCCAATCAGAGAGGCTTTAAGTCAGACAGACCTTTTTGCCTTGGTCGCCAATCGATAAGATGATCAGTGAGACGAACAGACGAGAAAATTAAGGGACGAGTTAAAGTATGGCTACGTGGTTGGTTGGGCGGTGCGTTGATGGTGAAATGTGGAGTGAAAATGAACCGCTTTCTCTCTCTCTCTCTCTCCTTCTCCCTCTCCCTCTCCCTCTCTGATTCGGTCTTTGTCTCTCTCTCTTTCCGAAGTGGAAAGTTGAACAGTGGTAAGGCTGGCAAACATGGCGGGATCTATTTCGGCAAGCGAATAAACTGGCGATAAATGTACAGGCGTCGTCTTAGTTAAAAGGGGACAAAGAGACAGTGATGAGTCGAGACGCGGAGATTCCGAGACGTTGAGACGTTGAAACGTTGAAACGCTGAGATGGTGAGACGGTGAGACGTGGGGACGCCGAAACAAAGACAGCCAGACAAAGCAAGTGTTAGACGAAGACGAACAGACGCATAAACAACGATAGCAAGCCAGAAGGCCATGTGATCAGACAATCGGCTGGCCCGGTAGGCGAGAGGCAAGGTCGCATTTACTGATTGAATGATTAAATGAATAATTGCCCGATTGTCCGAATGCCAATGCTATTGACCGGCTGGATGGATCTGACGGAGACAATAAAAGGGATCAGGTGAGGAGACTGGCCTGTCGGAAGGGCTGGAGCAGCGGGACGAGCTTAGTTGATTTTATGGCAGTCCCAGTTGTTGTGCCATGACGACGGGTGGGTAGCCCCGACGTTTTGCCTTTTCGCCATGTCTCCGCTGGCCGAGTGGCCCAGTTTGGTTGGATGACGGTGAATCGAGATGGTCTTGGCTACTGGCGCCCGGGAGGCGAATGGGCGCTGTTTGTACATATTAGCCTACTCCGAGGGCGGACACTTTGGGTTTTGCATCGGGTCTGCCTTGTGTCAACAATACGCCTGTAGAGGTCAAAGTGAACGGGTGAATGTTTGTCACTTTTTGTCGTCAAGCCCAGACTGTCGAGGCTGGTGTGTCAGGCGGTGGAGAGCAGTAATCGGAGGGAAGACTGACCGAAGCGTCTGACACAGTTCACAGTAAACGCAGGAGCTGTTGTGGCGCCCAGTCCGATCGACCGACCGACTGACCGAGCCGCGGCAGTTGGTTCGAACTGGTGCGGAAAAAAGGCGGCGATCGATCGGCCGTTTGATGCGTCAGCAGTCCGACGCGAAACGCTGGACTGGCTGGGCCGATGCAACTGTCATGCCTTAGCCGAAGCCGACGGGCCTACTCAAAACAGGGTTCGCTCGTTTTTCCGTCTGTTGAGTAGACTTGCATATCGGTTATAAGGCAATGTGAAAACATGGTAACATGAGCATGTGGGATTATGGAAATAGGGAAATGTGGGAATGGGTAGATGGTGGATCATGGGACTATGAATAGGTGGAAATTTGGATGAAAGCGTTTAGTAGAAAAATTTACTGAAAACTTCGGGCCTACTCATGAGATTGTTGGAGAATTAAACAATCAGTCTTTTATGAAAGCATAGGAGACCCTATGCGATCTCGTGAAAACACAACAAGATTGCCCTTTTCGCCAAATCGCCAAGGCTGTCGAGGTGGCCAAACTACGATTTGGGCCACACACGGACGGCACAATGAAGACGCAATCCTCAGCACCTGAGAGACATGAAATGCAAAGATTGATGTGAATACTTTTATTTCGTGTGAAAGTACATGATGAATACATTCGTAAGTCAATCTCACCAGAAGACTCCGGCTGATTCTCGTTGTTCTGCGGCCATCTAGCCTTAATGCATACACACAATAGACACTCTCGAGTATACGTGAATTTGCCAAACCTTTCTACATCCAAATATGTCTTACATTTCGAAGGTATGAAGACCAAGATGGTGTGGAATTTTGTGTGGTCGCAGTGGAAATTCAACATTTTGGTTTAGTTTATCCATCGAAGACTATGGGAGGACATCGCAAGGGAGATGATATCAACGGACAAAGGAAAGTCGTATTGAGGTTGTTTGACCTTGTTTTCGCAACATGGTCATGTTGTTAGGACGACTTATTGGAACGCAACTAGTCCGGGGTCCATTGTCTGCTTGATCATTTCCAGAGTTAAACCGTGGACGTGGTACATTCCCAACCGGCATCGTAGTCGGCATCGTCAGTGAGTATCGCCATTCTTAGCACCACACAACAACTCGTCAAAGAGACAATATGGCAGACTCTGGTCAACATTCCCAGCTCAAGAGTGAAGGGGGAGAGAACGACAGTGTGGAGTGTGAATGGTTTTCATGAAAGCTGCTTAAAGGAGCACACCACACTACCTGTGATAGTGAAGGTATGATACAAAGATATAGGAAATGTGAATAGCCCAGGGCAGAAGGGGAGATACCACAAACGTTTAGCACACGTTTGGTCAAAGGATCGGCCTCACTTGTCTCTTTGACGAGTAGCTGTATGGTGCTTAGGATGGCAATACTCAGTGACGATA